CCAGATTAACTACAAAAGGCATGTAAAAGAAGACACTATCTGCATAAAGAGAAAGAATTGATAAATATATTATAAAATAATCTTACAAATATACATATTTGTGTCTAATACTCGTCTCTAGAGTCGGGGGAAAGAAAAAAAATATTTACGTGATAACTTTTTAAAAGTTCATTTAAACTTACTTAAACAGAATACCATGGTGTGCATAATAGATTTTCAGTTTCATAGGCAATCATTTTTTCATATAGTATGGAAATGGTTCTTTTATTGCACAAATTAAAAATAACATAAATTTGAAACTATTTTTAAAGAGCTCTATGGAAATTTCACAATAAGAGAAAGGAAGTCAGGATCTTGAAGTGGCAGAGACTTGCGCTGGCTTGTCCACCTTTGTTTCTTATATGTGTCTTTTAACTAGCATACTATGCATGGGCCACTCTTCCCATTGACTCTGTGTATATTTGTGGAGCAGTGTGCCTCATATTTATAGTGGGAAGGTTCATGCTGTATAATTGTTTCTTTTTCTTTCAACTAGTTGTGCCAGTCGTTTGAGTCCTTGAGTGTGGACTCACAAATACCTGGGGTCGTTGACCTCTTGATCTTCCAACTTATAAATATGATGTAGAGGAGTAGACCAAGAGGGGAATGCTACATTAGAAATCACACCCTCTGAGGAAAATTTTTTTGGATTTCCTTCAATAAGAATATAAAGAAATTTGTACGAAAATCTGATCATATATTCTTAGTTATGTGACAAACAAAATGGAGAATCTCTTTCCTTTCCAATCCTCACTGATGCAGTACTTGGGTGGTTATGTTTAGGTGCTTGTACTTGGACCCCAGGTTACCTTAGTCCCAAACAGTATAATGAATTCTGACTTAAGCATTCAATTAAGAGCATCATATTTCATTTGAAATATTACCAGAATGAATTAAATTACCTTTTGGTTGTGTTCCTGTACACAAAAACTTGTCTCTTTTATGTGAGGCAGAAAAGATTAAGTGCTACTCAATCTGCCTCTCTTTGATCTGAGGGGAAAAGATTCACCTTTCTTTCCTCCTTATCTTTCTCTTTTCTACATTCAACAACTTGGCCAAAGTTGGAATGTAACGAGACAGGGAGAAAGAATTTTTTCCCTAACAATTCTCCAAAAGTTTCAAAACCTTTTACTCTCAAACCCTCTGTTCACATTCTTCTTGCAAATAGCTTCTGCTTTTCTTTCCACCCATACTTCTAAACTTCCATCACATTCCATCACAATCATGTACCACAACTTGTTCAGCAATTCCCCAATTGATGTGTATCCTCGCAATTTCCAGTTCTTTGCCACTACAAAGAGAACTATTATAAACATTTTAGATGCATAAATTCTTTTTCTTTTCCCTAATTATCTTCAGAAATAGACCAAATAGAGGTATTGCTGGGTCAAGGATATAGGTAGCTTAATAATTCTTTGCGCATAAATCCAGATTACTCCCCAGAATGGTTGGATCAGTTCACAATTGCACCAAGAATGAATTAGCATTCCAATTTTTCTATATCCCCTCCAACATTTGTTGCTTTCCCCTTCTAACATTTTAGCCAGTTTCATAGGTGTAAAATGATATCTCAAGATAGTTTTAATTTTCATTTCTCTAATCAATGATGATTACAGCGTTTTTCCTGTGATTATAAGTTGCTTTGATTTCTTCTTCAGAAAATTATCTGTTCATATCCATTGACCATTTTCCAATTAAGAAATGACTCATATTCTCAAATATTAGACAAAGTTCTTTATATATTTTAAATGTGAGACCTTTGTCTTACAAACTGTCTATATAACATTTTCCACAATTTTCTGTTTTTCTTCTGATCTTGGCTACATATGTTCTATTTCTAAAAACACTTTTTAATTTAGTTTAATGTATTTAAAATGAATGGTTTTCTTTAGGTTAAATTAAGTTATTGTAATGTAAAAATTAACATTCTTAATTTAGTGTAAAGTGAAATTATTAATTTTATGTCTAACTTTGCTCTCTGTCTCTTGTTTATTCATAAATTGTTCACCTATCGATAAGTCTGATAAGTAAAGGGTTCCATGTCTTTCTAATTTTCTCATAAAATAACTTTTTATATCTAGGTGATATATCCATTTTGACCTTATTTTGGTAAATGGTGTAAGATATTGTCTATGCCCAGTTTCTACCATTCTGCTTTCTAGTTTTCTCAAAAATTTTACCAAAATCTTATCCCAAATCTTAAGACTTCATACTTGTCAAATACAAAGTTATTATTCTTATTTCCTGCTGTAAAATAGATGCTTATTCTATTCTACGGATCCACTTTCAATTTTTTAACCAGTACCAGATAGTTTTTATAATTACTGCCTTATAATATAGTTTAAGATCTGATGCTGCTAAATTCCCTTCCTTTACATTTTTTGCATTATTTTCTTTGATATTCTTCACTTTTCCTTTTTCCAAATGATTTTTTTTTAAATTCAGTAAGAATATTTTTGGCAATTTAATTTGGATGGCATTGAATATATAAATTAGTCCAGTTAAAAGTGTTATTTTTACTATGTTGGCCATGCCTTCCCATGAAAAATTAATATCTTTCCAATTATTTCAAACAGATTTTACTTGTATAATAAGTTTTTATTATTTTGTTTATATACCTCATGAATCTGTTTTGACAGCTCTATTCTCAGGTGTTTTATACTCTCTAGAGTTATTTTATATGGGTTAGTTTTACTATCTCTTCCCACAGGGTTTTATTTGTTACATATTGGAGTGCTGATAATTTCTGTGGATTTACTTTATATCATACTAATTTGCTAAAATTATTCATTGTTTCAACTAACTTTTTAGTTGAGTCTTTGGGATTTTCTAACTACATCACCACATCTTCTGCAAAAAGAGATAACTTTATTACTTTATTACCTATTCTGATTCCTTCAATTTCTTTTTCTTCTCTTATTGCTATTGCTAGGATTTCAAGTACAATCTTGAATAATATCGATGACAGTGGGCAGTCTTGTTTCAAAAGTGATCTTACTAGGAAGGGTTATCATTTATCACTCTTACGAAATTGCTTACTGATAGTTTAAGATGAATTTTATTTATCAATTTAAGGAAAAATCAATTTGTACCAATTCTTTCAAGTGTTTTTAATAAAAATGTGTGTTAAATTTTATCAAAGACTTTTCTGCATCTATTGATGCAGTCATGAATTGTTTACTTTTATTATTAACATACTCAATTATTTGATGCAAAAGACAGGGTCTGTCCTTTCCCATCACACCAATTATTCTCAATACCAAGAAAATGCTTATTAGGCTACTTTCTATTACTGACATTTTCTGAGGCAGTCTCTTCCAATTTCTGATTAAGGAAGCACCCTAAGTCTCTTTCATCCTTGATTTTGAATTGAATCTGTTCATAGGTACTTTTTCCCTCTATATCTCTGCCCCTGTCCTTTGCCTCTTGCGTTTCCTTCTGGTGCCTTTGCTCATTTTTATAATTGGAATCCACCTGTTATTTACCTCTACTGGAATCATGTTCTCTCATATCTCTCTTCTACTTAGAGCAAATGAAGCATGAAATGGACAAGAGATGCAAAGAAAGCTTCCATTGAGTCTCAAGGCATTTACTGCTTCTATTATAGGCCCATAATATATTGTGGGACAGTGACAGAGGCACCCCAAGAAACCAACCTCCCACATTTCTTCTTCTACAGCTTTTGGAAAGAGAGTTTCTACTATATTCTCTCTGCAGTTTATAATAACCTCCCCCTCAGCTTACTTTGAGCACATTATGCCCTTGTGGGGCATGAGTTTGTATTCTACACTGTCAGAGCATTTTGGACTGAACTTCCAAATAAGACACCATTCTCCTAACTTAGAGCTTCCAAGTCTGCCATCACTATGTCTTCAGGAAATAGAGTATCTTTTCTCCACTTTTGTTTACCTTCTCTTTCTTTTGTACTGAGTAGGAAAGTGCATGGGTCAGAGCTCTTATTCTATGGGGGAGAAGGGGTGAAAATGGCAAAGTAAAAGTAAGGGTTTGCAAGGTCCATTAGGACTTTTCCATAAAAACAAATTATTTTCTCATCAGCCATTGGGATTGTGAAATCTTGTGTAATGCATAGAATCTGAACTATGTCAATTTTGTATGTTTTTTTTTCCTTCACTGGCACAGGACTTGTATTTTCATTTTTCAGTTGCTGCTTCACAATCTTTAGAAAAGAAAATAAACATTCCATACATTATGTAGAACATAGTTAAATTAAACAAGTAGGTCCTTTCCCCTTTTTTCATTCTCAGTGGAATATAGACCTAGCAGTGGTATTGTTGGATCAAAGGGTATCCTGATGTTGTGGGCAATAAATGGAAATTGAGGTGACATGTATGAACTGGGGAATGGCTAAATAAACTGTGGCATATGATTGTGATGGAATATTATTGTGCTATAAGAAATGACAAGCAAAATGATTTCAGGAAACCCTGAAACATTTCTTGAACTGATACAAAGTAAAGTGAGAAGAACCAGAACAATGTTGTACACAGTAACAGCAATATTGTTTGATGACAGCTACAATGGACTTAACTTTCTCAGCAACACAATGATCCAAAATATTTCCAAAGGACTCTAGATGAATCATGGTATCCAACTCCAGAGAAACAACTATGGAGTCTGAATGCAGATCAAAGCATACTATTTTACCAATTTTTTTTCTTTCTTCTAGTTTTTCCTTTTTGTTCTGATTTTTCTTTCATGATATGACTAATGTGAACATACATTTAACATGCTTGTGTATTTTACAGAGGAGGGAGGGAGAAAAATTCAGAATTCAAAATCTTGTAAAAATATATGTTAAAAACAATCTTTACATGTAATTGGAAAAAATAAAATTCTATTAAGTGCAAAATTAATAATAAAAAATTTTAAAGCTTATCAATATTTGTCAGTACCAGAATATCTACATCCGTGAACAGATATTTTGAATACTGAATGGGTGATCAGAAATAGAGTTTGATAGACAAGACACCAAGCACAGTTCTTTTCATTAAGTTTAGATGAGCTGAATCTTCACTCTCCATGATGTCGACAATGATGACTGCATTGAAAATCTTTTCAAAACGTTTCTGTTCTGGTGCCAATGGAGTCAACATTGCTGAGGAGGCAGTGACTAATTGCTATTGAGTACAAAAATTTCAGAGGTCAGGGTAAAAAGGCACCTGAGAGGAACAACTAGAATTTCCTGACTTTTAAAAAGGAATTTAAATTCTTTTTAATAAGTTATTCAAGCAAGGTTTACCCATTTCCTTTAATAGTTTTGGGATTCTATTGGGTAGCCAGTCCCTACAACTTCCTCATGTAGAGTCAGTTCCTTTCATACTTCAAGCCCAAGAATTCTCTCAGGTTCATTAATGACATTACTCACATGAGCTAAAGCTATAAACACTTTTTTTTATACTTGATTACAAGTTGTTAGTGGGATCCTCTTTAGTCTCTATATAAAGGCATTTTTCATCTATGCATAATGCATGTGATATTGCTGTATGAATATAATACTGAGAAGATTAAAATGGATCCTGTATCATTTCGCCATTGATCTTATTTACAATTAATTGATTATGCCCTATAACTGAGTACTTAGTTATGGTTCTATGTCTCTGAACTTAGTTCAGAATTCAGCTGACCTGTAAGGGGTTAAGGTTTGAAATCCAGTTCTCTTGCTAGTCACTGTGCTATTCTTATCTGAAGGAACTCTGCTAACCTTGAGGGAATATGGCTTGCCGTAATGGAATTGGGCATAATATCTTTACACCACCAAACTATCTTTCAGGGACATCTGCTTTGCTATCCAAAGAAGTCTATACCATTATCTTGGAACATGAAAGTAGAGTCAAAATAACCACTTGTTAGTCATAGATGGGAGATAAGGAAGGTTGATGTTAGGACCCAGTCCCAAAAAAAATTTCCAAACAATCATGTTGCTCCCCACAGGTCACCTATGTAAAAAGTCATGTTGACCTCTGCCCTTCATGTCACCTATCCTGTTCTGTTCCTGGCTCTGTACTTGCCAAAATCTATACAGGGGGGCTGTTTTCTGCTTGGGATATGTCAGATCTATGTTTCAGGAATGTGATATTAATAGCTGAGCTTAGTGTGGACTGGAGTAAAGAGAGTAGTAAGGCTGGGAGAACAACCATCAAGCTAGCATAATAGTCCCACTATGAGTTGGTCAAGGCCTACCTCAGGGTGGTTTCAGTACCTTGAGGAGAGAAGGAAGAGCATACTAGATTTGTGATAAAAGTAGAATGGGCAATACATAACTACCAATTGATTGTGGGATAGAGGTGGGACTGAGAGTGAAGGCATTAAGAATGATAGCTTGCTACTGGAAAAGGTGCTTTCTCCTGGGATAGAAGAAAAAGCAACATTAGCCATAAATACAAATTCACTATACACCTGTTCCTGGATATACGTATCTTTTACTTTGTGCATCATGAGCTCAGTCCATTTCTTGCCTCACTGACAGTGCACCGCCTGACAGGGGAAGTTTTTATCTGGTCTCACATTCCTTTTCCTCACTGTGTGTCTTGTACAGTAATACACAGCTGTGTCCTCAGTCTGAAGGGAAGTCATCTGTAGATATAACATTCTGTTGCCATTATCTCTAGAGATGGTGAATCGGTCTTTCCCAGAGTCTGCATAGTATGTACTTCCACCAGTGCTAATTCTTGCAACCCTTTCCAATCCCATCCCGGTAGCCTGGCAGACCCAATGCATGTAGTAGCTGCTGAAAGTAAATCCAGAACCTTTGCAGGAGAGACTCAGAGATCCCCCAGGCTGTATCACATCTCCCCCAGACTCCACCAGCTCCACATCACACTGGACGCCTGCAACACAGAGACATTGCATTAAAGTCAAGAGTCACATGAAGTCACCACTTCACATTGTCCCTTCCTCTCCATGAAACTATCTTGGGAATTGGTCAGAAGGAAAACCCAGTTCAGCCTAAATTTCATGGTGAGTTTCCATGTTAGTCCTCTGTGGGGAATGACACAGACAGCTTGAGTTTATCTCCCACAGGAGGTACCGGTACAGGTTTGGGGCTGCTTTTCATCTCAGTAGGGTGGGACCCAATTTTCATGTCTTGCTCTATTCAAAATGAGGAAGAACACCTTCTTCCTCCCAGGGAGAAATTTATTTCCTGAGCTTGGGAAAGTTCCCTTAGAACTAGTTCCAAAGGACTGGGGAATGTTGTTGACAGTGAGTATCTCAGAACTGATGTTTTTGACTCAGTGTCAATGACCCCCCATCACTTTGATAACTCTAAACAGTTGGATGATATGTTCTAGGCTTTTCTGTGCTCTTAATATGTTTCTAATTGATCTTAGGCCCATTTCAGATTGTCAAATCTCCTCAAACATCTTCCATTTCCAATGACCAACAGACTGAATCTCTTTTGTGAATCAGTTTCTTCTCAGGGTCTCTTTTCCTGATTCTTGGCACTCTACTGCTTAATAAATAAACTTTTCATCTCCTTTTCCCTAGAATTACATTTCACCTATATTATCTACCCATAGTTTCAGTTATACTCACTCATTGCCTTGATAGGAATAGCTTATATACTTTTTTAAATCTCTCAGGTTGAGAAATTCAGTTAGGAAAGTCACCATTCACAATTAGAGATTTGCAAGTCTCCTCCAACAAATACCTTGTTCCTCAGATAGACATAGCCTATTTAACGGGAGATAGAAACTATTATCCTCTGTGACACTGACCTAATATTCTGATTTATAGAGCAAATATGGCTCAGATTTCTATGAGATGATCCTTATAGTTCAAGTACCATTCTCATCACCCAGTATGTCTAGCTGTACTGCCACCTGCTGAATATTTAATTGTATACTCAGACACATGTTTCCATTCTCACTTCCACATTTTTTTAAACATGGGATATTTATAATTTCAGGGCCCTTATCCTTTTAGAGTTCTGTATCTAGAATATTTCCAAAATCATCATTCTTTTTTGTCAAGAACTCAACTCAGTGGTGGAAAAAAAAAACAAATAAAAAGCAAACAATCCCTCTCTTAATCACCATTATATCTATGGAATCTTCATTATAAAGCATGAAGTCTAAGTTGTGTTTCTTTGGTTTCTTTCACCTGTTATTGCTATTATGTTTTGAGTGGATCTTTCTTAGTCTGTTATTTACCAAGTTAAGGATAATTTATAATACAACAGAGAGGTGAACAGAGTTCAATGCCTATAGAAGAGAAAAGCATAGATTGGTACTCTTCAAGTGCTGAGTCCATAAGTTATTGTTTCAGACATGCTAGTACAAGGATCTTAGATTTTTAAAGTTTTCCCATTTCAGACATAAAATGATCACCCTATGTGTCATATTCACAGATAGTAAAGGTTGCAAAACTTGGGAGTGTCTCAATAACTGTTTGTAAAGCAAATTTAAATAAAGCTTTATATCTTTCACTCCCTTAGTTAACATGAACACTTTTGATCAACCTGAGAGTATTTAGGGTGCTTGGTATATGATGAAGGCAACTGATGCCATGCAAGCAAGATCTAAATTAGCCATGACCCTTCCCATGATATAAAAAAAGCAATCTAACCAGCTCTATTTTAAATAGAGGGATAATCAGCTCTGCTTTCAGATGTTGAGCTAAGGAGAAAAGGAGCCCCAGGTAATACAACACTAATAACTGGGCGGCAAAGATACTGTTCCCAGAAAAAGTAACATTTTGACTATTATAAATGACCAGATTAACTATAACAGGCATGTAAAAGAAGACACTATCTGCATAAAAGGAAGGAACTAATAAATAGATTACAGAATGATTTTACAAATATACATATTAGCAATCTCTAGGGTGAGGGGAAATAAAGAAAGATCTTTAAATGATAATTTTTCAAAAGTTTATTTAAACTTATTTAAAGGGAATAGCATGCTGTGCATAATATATTTTCAGTTTCATATAAAATCACTTTTTTATTATACATATTGTGGAAATGGTTGTTTTAACCCATAAATTAAAAATAAAATAAATTTTAAACATTTTAAAGAGCACTATGGAAATTTCACAATAAGGGAAAGGAAGTCAGGGTGTTGAAGTGGCAGAGACTTGCATTGGCTTGGCCACGTGTGTTCCTTATATGTATCTTTTAACCAGCATACTATGCATGGGCCCACTCTTTCCATTGACTCCTTCTATGTTTGTGGAAAAGTGTGCCTCATATTTATAGTGGAAAGTTTAATGCTCTAATGGTTTGCTTTGCTTTGAACTAGTTGTGCCAAGTGGTTTGAGTCCTTGAGTATGGACACACCAATACCTGGGGTACTTGATCTCTTGATCTTCCAACCTATAAACATGATGTAGAGGAGTAGATCAAGAAGGGAATGCTACATTAGAAATCACAACCCCTGGGGAAAATTTTTTTTTTTAGATTTCCTTCAATAAGAATATAAAGAAATTTGTATCAAAATCTGATCATATATTCTTAGTCTTCTGATTAACAAAATGGAGAAATCTCTTTCCTCTCCAATCCTTTCTGATTTGGTGCTTGGGTGTTTATGTTTGGGTGCTTGTACTTGGACCCCAATTTACCTTAGTGCCAAACAGTATAATAAATTTTGACTTAAGCATTCAATTAAGAGCATCACATTTCATTTGAAATATTACCAGAATGAATTGAATTACCTTTTGGTTGTGTTCCAGTACTCAAAAAGTTTTCTCCTTTATATGTGGTAGAAGAAATTAAATGCTACTCAATCTGCCTTTCTTTGATCTCAGGGAAAAAGGTTTACCCTTCTTTCCTCCTTATCTTTCTCTCTTCTACATACAACAACTTGGCCAAAGTTGGAATGTAAAGAGAGAGAAGGAGAAAGAATTTTTTCCTTAACAGTTCTCCAAAAGTTTCAAAACCTTTTACTCTCAAACCCCCTGTTCACACTGTTCATGCATATAGCTTATGCTTTTCTTTCTACCCATACTTCTACCCATACCCAAAACTTTCTTGTCTTCCTTCCACCTATTTATCCCTCTGATAGACTTTGATTAAAGTCCCTTTAAAACTGCACATATCTCATTTCTTTCTAATTCTGACCTGACACTTAAAGGATCCTTCTCGACTTGCCTTTCACCAATCATATAACCTAAATAATGAAGTATTTTTCTCTCTCTCATCCACCTGCTCCTCTGAGGCTGCTGTTACCAGGAGGAAGAGGGGGGAGAAAGAAAGCAGCGTTCCAGAGCCCAGCTGCAGCCCTTGGAATGCTTTTCTTACTACCTGGTTGCAAAGAGTGTCAAATTACACCAGACGCAAACACAGAACAGTTACATAATAATGATAAGGAGGATCCAAAAGCTCAGAGAGACTTGTCAGAAATCCCCTACACAAATGAGACAATTTTATCGTGGTTCTCCAGATCTTATGGAGACCACGCAAAACTTCCCTTAAAGTCTTGGAGACTCAGCTTTTTCCAGTTCTGTAAAAGATGACCTAAGGGCCAATCTCAAGGTGTAGAGGGAGATTGGCCCATCCTCTTTGATTGTAAGCCTAAAAAATAAAAAAAAAAGAAGGACTGGCTCCTGTAGTCTACTCTCCTTGACCAGTGTCCTGGTGAGGGAGAAAAAAAACACAGAAGTTCCCAACAAGGTGTCCCTTCCCAAGAGGGAAATGCTACAGCCTGTTGTATGCTCAACCCAGCCCCAGCAAGCCTTCCTAGGTGCTTGAGGGGCGACCCAGCTACAGGGCGAGAGGACAGGGGAGGCTTCCCTCGACTTGGAGAAGGCCTGAGACTTCAGACAAGCCCAACATTTGGGTGCCATAAATGTTGCGGTATGAGAAGTTGTAACCCCTCAAAGACTGGAGTACACAATGGGTCATCTGCAATGAATTGACAGACTCAAACATTATTTAAGTCAAGGTGGCAAAGGTTTATTCCGCGCTTCTCAGCGGGCGAGGATTCCTAAGGATCTTGTGATCTTAAAGCGGTACAGTTAAAGTTTATGTAGGATGAAATACAGTAAAACATGCGCCAAATATGTTGACTAGGTGATTCGGGGAGGAGTAGGGAGTGGTTAAGGAGCGGTCAGTTCTTAAAAGAACATGCACTTCTTGTACCTAATGTACAGGCATTTTACCCAGAGTTCACGAGGAAAAGCACACAAGGAGGGACACATGGAGCTGTGGTGTTAGGCCTGCTACCTCACTAAGCTAACTAGAGTTCAGGGGTAACTGAGAGTTGTCCACTCTGTCGCCAATCAATGTTGTGTTTGACAAGATAGATGTAGGGAGTATACGCATGGCTTAAGTCTAGAATACAGTTACTGAGGACCCCAGGATGTAGATAATGAGGTAGGGCAGTAGTATAGGTAGTCCAGTGGGTAAGAATGACTTTATGACCCAGTGCAAAGCCACTTCAAATTAATAATCCCTTCAGGTGATGTTTATAACTGCACCAAGGAGAGAGATAAGGGTCTTGCTGGGACCCGCTCATGAGTAATTGCTAGGCACGGTGTCCCTGGGCTGGGAAGAAACTGTAAGGGATAGTGTTTCTGAGCCTAGGGAGAAATCGGGGTGCAAGTACAAGCACCCAAACATAAGCACCCTGTTACAGCCTCTCAAATATTTCCAAAATGAATGAGAAGAAAAAGCAGTTTCAGCTAGCAACACCACCTAAGCACCAAGAATTCTAACAAGGCAGCAAACTGATGAAATAACAGCAGAGAAGGTCTATTATACCTAATCCCTAACATATTCACTCAAAATTCCCTCTCACACCAGCTGCTACACCCTTGCAGGGGTGGCACAACTTCACCCATGGTTTACAAAAGAACTAAATTCTTTCTAATCCACACTGTGCAGCAGAGGTGGAGGTATAGAAAATCAGATTTTTGCTCTCCATGAAGTAGCAGTATGGCAGAATGCTGTGCTGCAGCAGGTGTTAGCTAGAAAAACTAAGGAACAGAAGGCACTGGAGGAGGAAGTCAGAATGTGTACAACTCCACCAGATCTGAAGGAAAAAGTCCTGGAATCCACCTGAAGCCATTTTTTCCTTTCAAAAAACACATGGGCAGAGACTGAAGCCACTGAAATGTGAATCCACCTACAACAGAAAGAGGCCAACACAGATTTCAGGTCCAGACATCAGGGAATCTAACATCAAAGTGGAAGGAGTCAGAAGGGATGGGACAGGTGTATATAATGAAAAAAGATTGACATTTCCAAAGGTCTCAAGAAGAAGAAAATTCAGTTGAGACCTTGAAGATAATTAAATAAACAGATAAGGAAGATATTAATAACTTAAGAAAAGAGCCCCTTGAACACCTAAACAATTCCAAACAACGAATAAATACTGCAATACAAAGAAAAATTAATCTATACATGACCAAATAGAAGGTTCTATGGGTTCCCAAGGTCTCTTAGGAAGTGATAGCATGGAGTCACAGCAGAATGTTTCCTAATGATGCAAGAAATAGTGCCAGAAAAAAATGTGAGTTGTGAAAGTTGGGGGCAGCTAGGAGGCACAATGGATAGACCACTGCCCTGGAATCAGGAGGACCTAAATTCAAATCAGGCCTTAGACACCTGACATTGACAAGCAGTGTGTCCCTGGGTAAGTCACTTAACTCCATTGTGGAAAGAGAAAGAGAGAGAGAGAGTGAGAGAGAGAGAGAGAGAGAGAGAGAGAGAGAGAGCTGTAAAAGTTGAATTTATCTCCTGCATAACATACATAATCGACAGCATCGAAAAAATTAAATAAATGCTGGAAAATCTCACCAAAGATAAAAACAAGAATAAGTGATTGGAATTATAAGTGTACAAAAGACAGGAATAGTCTGGAAGGAGAAGAGTAAAAAGCAGTAACATTTAAAAAAGCATCTCTATGTGAGTAAAATGTATTGCTCTCTAAGATTACAAAAAAGACAACCTAAGGATTATAGGTCACCTGGAAAAACATGGCAAGTCCAAAAACTTAAAAATCAAGACATGGAGTCAAGATGTCAGAGTAAAAGCAGGGACTCACTTGAACTCTCCCCCAAATCCCTCCAAATATCTTTAAATAATGATTTTAAACAAATTCTAGACCAGCAGAAACCACCAAAAGACAGGGTGAAACAATTTGCAGCCCAAGAAAACTGAGAAGGTCAGGAAGAGAGGTCTGGGCACCAGGGTGAAAGACGAGCACAGTCCAGTGCAGGCCATACCAGTGCAGACCAGGCCTCAGGAACCAAGTAGCATGCCTCAGGGCAGCTGAATCAGTGGCAGCAGTGGTGGTTTGCAGACCTCTTAGTCCACAGATGTCAATGCTGGTATTTAGAAAATTCCAGTGTATACCACTGGATAATTTAGGTCAGCAGGAAAGTCTGTAGCACCCAGGTAAATGTGGAGCATACTCCAATGCAGGCCATGCCAGCACAGCCCCACCCACAACAAAGCAGAAGCACACCTTGGGAGCCACTGAATCAGCAATGGTAGCAGCTGCTCCTGGAGTTCTCAACCCAAAGACAGCAAGGAGGTCGAACAACTGGTCAAAAGGAGATTACAGGGTCTCTTTGCCAGCCCTGAGGAAGTCCTGGGTGGCAGTCCTGGGGCAAGGAGGAGCACTAGCACACCAGAGCTTACAGTCACAGTGGATTTCCAGGGAAATAAAGACTGCTTGAGGTCACTCACAGACCAGAGCAAAGGCTATGAGAGTAGCATACATCTCTCCTTAGATCATACCCCCTTGGAAGAACCAAAAATTTACAAAATATCAGGCCTTTAAGAAGAAGCTCCTTATTTGATGAAAACTGCCAAAAATTGGAAATAAAGTAGATATCCATTAATTAGACAATTGCTTAATAAATTGTGGAACATGAACATAATAGAACATTACTGTGCAATAAGAAATTATGTATATGAGGAATATATCTAATAATAATAGTGGTAATTATAATTATTGTTATATTAATTAATACTTACATAGGAAAGTAAGGAACTGTTACACTAAATAAATCATGGTATATTAATATACTGGAAGCTATTGATGCACAAGAATTGATGAAACAGCCAGGTTCAGAGAAAACTGGGAAAACATCTATGAACTGCTCAGAGAGGAGTAGCACTAGGCGAACAATTTATACAATGACAGCATCACTACAGAGAAAAATAATTTTGAAAAGAATTTAGAATTAGTTCAATACAATATATACAACATGAATCCAGAGGATTGAAGATGAAACATACCTCTCATCTCAGCCACAGAAATGATGATCTTAAAATTAAAACAAAAGGGCATGCACTTTTAAGTAAGGCCTAAGTGGGAATTTTTTTCCTGAAATCAAACGTTCAAGAGTGAAATACTTGGGGATCAAACAACACATCACGGTAACTGCATAGTATTTCTCACTGCCATCACTATTAATAACGGAGACCTACCTAACCCCTTCCCAAAAGTGTGGCAGACCCAGCGCATTCAGTAGTCATTGAGGGTGATTCTCTACAGGAATCTTTGCACCTTTACAGGAGAGGAGCAAGAGACACCCCAGGAAGTCTCACACCTCTGCCAAGCTCCACCAGCTGAAAATTACACTGAATACCTACAAAGACAGAGAGATTGCATTTAAAGACAACAGTCATGTCACACCAAAACAACAGTGTCTCTCCATGTGCAAAATTCTACCTTGGAAAATGATCAGAATAAAATGCCAATTCAGGAAGGCAAGGAAAGATTTGCATAAAATGACAAAGAGCAAAGTGAGCAGGACCAAGAGTTTCTACACAGTAAAAGCAATATTGTTTTAAGAACAATTTTGAGCAACTAAGTAATTTTGAGTATTATGAATACACAAATTAAAAATAAAGGACATAGGAAGGAACAGGCTAACTGTGTCCAGGGAAGGAACTGATAAATAGAAGTGTATAAATAGAATAAGTGTACATATATATACATAAACATATTTTGATGTAATGGTTGCCATCCACATCTAGGGTGGGGAGGTGGGGCAGGAGAAAAATTTACGTGATAATATTGTTGTATATTTGGAGGGAATGGCAAGTTGTACATGGTAGTTTTGCAGTTTCATGTCCAATCATCTTTTTTATGGTACTGTGTTATAAAAATGTTTGTTTTGTTCTATGAATTAAAAAGAAAGTAATTTTTTTTAATCCAATTCAGGAGGCAACTAGGTGGTGTAATTGACAAAGCACAGACACTGGGATATCCGGATCTGAGTTCAAATCCAGCCTCACACACTTGACATTTAACTAGCTGTGTGACCCTGGGCAACTCACTTAACCCCGGTTGCATCATCGAAAAAAAAATCCAATTCAGCCGAAATTCCAGTGTGGAATCTCCACAAGGTCAGTCTTCAGGATAAAGAAGAAGCCACACAAGACTGAAGCCCTCTCCTGCAGCTAAAGATTCTGGGCTGGTTTTCATACCAAGGGAGAAAGAAATCTGCATGTTTTACCCTCTTCAACAAGAGAAAGAACAGCTGCCATCTCCTTTGGGTTAGTCCTCTCCCTGAAATGCAAAAGAAAGATCCTCCAGAACTGGCTCTAAAGCCCTGGAGAACATATTATGACACTAAGAATATAAAATATTAGCTTATATCAGTTTGCTCGCTGTCTTGGGGAGACAGGTGGGGAGGGAAGGGGAGAAAAATTTAAAACTCAAAAGCTTGTGGAAGTGATTGTTGATCATTCAAAAGGACTTAATAATTAAAAAAAGAAAAAAATAACATTCAATATTGATGTGAGAAAGACAGTGTCTGTCCTTCCTGACAAGATACAAGGAGACACCTTGTTTTCCAGAGCTAAGGCTCAGCAAGCAGGTTATGCCCTGAGCTTCCTTTGAAAACAATCCTTTGTGCTCACCCTCAGCATGATCTCAGCCACAGCAAAATCCCAGAATTGTTACACACCAGCATTAGGTGAACTCTGAGTATGGACAAGCACCATTAGTACCCATGTTGCAGTCATGAAGCCCTGCTTTGAATCAAATTTGTCACATTATTAATTTTACCCTTGTCAATGTCAGAGGTCACTACTTAGCCATTAGTATAAATACTGAGATCTCCCCACAATGCTTCAAGTCCTACACTAGGGATGGAGCTCCGGTATATGTGTCCATGATTGCAAGCCATTTTCCATCACTTTGAAATTAAACTTCTGTCTGCTTCCTGACTCTCCTGTCTCTATCCTGCTTTGTTTGATGCCTGCCACGCACATATTAGAGACGAGCTCCAGCCTCATTGAAATTACCCATCATTCCAACTGTTTTCATACCAAGAGAATGCTTATAAAGCATTTCTGTTTCTGATATTTTCTGAGTCAATCTCCTTCTATTTCTGACTGATTTTGAACTGAATTTCCTCATGGGTTACTTTTTTCTCAGTATCTCTGCCCCTGTCCCTTGGCTCCCATGCTTCATTCTAGTGCCCTTTCTTATTTTTAGAATTGGAATACACATATTTATATTTATATATGCACATACACGTACATACACATGTACATATATACATATACATACATACATATATTATAAAATATATGTATAAGAAAACTTAGAAGGAAGCAAATATGGATAGTTCTAAACAAAATGCATAGTATATAGGCTTTCATGAAGTGGAAATTTATTGCTGTATATTTTCAATCATCTCATGTTTTGCTGTGCAAATGGGAATGCATTTTATTTTTTCTTTTCTTCTTTTTATTATATTTTTAACATTTAACTTTATACTGTTCCTTCTTTTCTTCTTGTGTGTTTTAGTATTTGTTCAAAGTAATTTAATTTTTAAAAAATACTTGGGATCTGCCTGTTATTTACCTCTAGTGCTAATCATGTTCTCTCATATCCCTCTTCCAGCTGGAGGAATAAGGCATGAAAGAGACAGGAGATGTTCTGTAGGCTTCATTGTCTGTTTCTAACAGAAGCTCCTTGTGTATGCTGGGCAGTGACACAGTTCTCTAGGCATGAGTTTGTCTTCTCCATTGTCAGGGGTAGAGCATTTTGGACTGAGCTTCAAAATGAAGGCACCTCTCTCCTTACTCAGAGCTCCCAAGTCTGCTGTCACTAAGTCCTCAAGAGATAAAGTATTGTTTCCCTGCTCTTTTCAACTTTCTCTTTCTTCTCTACTGAGCAGGGAATGAGGTAGGTCAGTACTGTTATTCCATAGGGGAGAGGGGTGAGGGTGGTAAAGTAAGGGTAGGGGTTTATGAGTCCATTAGGACCTTTCCAAAAAATAAATTAGTTTTGTATCAGGCATTGGGATTATGAAATCTTATATAGTGCGTAGAATCTGAACTGTGTCAATTTTGTATGTTTTTTTCTTCCTTCACTGGCACAGGACTTGTATTTTCATTTTACTGTCACTGCTTCATTATTTTGGAAAGAAATTAAAATTCAATGGATTATGTAGAATGTAGTTAAATTTTACTAATGAATCCTTTTCCCTTTTTTATTCTCTTTGGGATATAGACCTAGCAGTAGTGTTGCTGGATGAAAGGGTATCCTTTTGTGGTGGCAAAGAACTGAAATTGAGGGTTGCCCATCAATTGAGGAATGGCAGGACAAACTGTGATATATGATTGTGATGGAAAATTATTGTGCTCTAAAAATGATGAGCAGGATGATTTCAAAAACCTAGAAAGACTTGCATGAACTGATGTAAAGTGAATTGAGCAGAACCAGGAGAACAGTGGATACATTAACAGCAAAATTGTATGAGGAAGTGCTGTCACTGACTTGGCTGCTCTCAGCAATAGAACAATCTAGTACAATCTCAAAGGACTCATGATGAAGCATTCTATCCATCTCCAGAGAAAGAACTGATATTGACTGAATGCAGACTGAAGCATGACAATTTTTCACTTTCTTTCTTTCACTTTTTTTTATTCAAGTCTTCTTGTAGAAAATCACTAACATGGAAATGTTTTACATGATTGCACACACATGTATAATGTACATTGGATTGCTTACTGTTTCAAGGATGGGAAGGGTAGGAAAGGAGGATAGGAAGGATAAAATTTGCAACTCAAAACTTTTTTTACACATTTGAAAATTGTTTTAACATATAATTTGGGAAAAATAAAACACAACAAAATAAATAGAATATAGTTAAGTTGTTATAAAGGTGGAAAATTTCTGTCAGTCCTATTCAGACAGTATGCTTTCAGGTCTATGTGACTCATTCTCCTTAAAACATGGTTTTCATGGGCAGCTAGGTGGTGTAGTGGACAGAGCAATGGCCCTGAATTCAGAAGGACCTGAGTTCAAATCTGGGCTCAGATACATAACACTTAACTAACTGTGTGACCCTGGGCAAGTCACTTAACCCCATTGCCTAGACAAAAAAAAAACGAAAACAAAACAAACAAAAAAAACCATGCTTTTCAGTTTCCCTGAAGATGATTGAAATCCCTTTAATAAAGGAGTAAAGAAATTTATGTCAATAATTGATCAGACTTCTTCTGGACATGGATCTGTTTGCCTTCTAAGTCACAAGGGCTGCCTAGCTCACTCTTTTGTTTGTTTCTTTGAAAACCTAATGCCTGCATAATTCTCTTTAGGAAGATCAACACACTCAGCTGATCTCATGGAAAGAGAGACTACATATCGTCTTCATACATCATCATGATGATAACAATAATAATAATTACCTTTCATATTGCTCTTTAAGGTTTGCAAAGAGCTTTAGAAATACTATCACTTTTTATCCTCACAACCCTGGGAGAGTCTATTCAGTGTGCAAAATCTCTTAAAGGATTTTCCAGGGTGAGAAACACATACAATACACATTCACTGCAAGAGCAATATTTCCTACTTTTCTGAATCTCAAAATCCCTTGGCACTGTTTTTTAACCATTTCAACCATTTTTCTTTTAGTGTACTTTCTGAAGAAAAGGCAAAAATTCTCGAGAAGGCTAAATTCTGTTAATGTGCATTTGACTCAGTACCCCTACAATTTCTTCTATAACTAGATAATAATCAAAATCCTACCCCTGTTCTTCAACCTTTTCTTTTTTGTGTGCTTTTGCAATTTAATTTTTAATTTTTTAAAATTTTTATTCATTTTAAACTTAAATACAAAAAACCAAAACAAGAGCTTTATGTACACAGCACAACGAAAAAGAGGATTCAGTATGACACAATGAATTTCCATTTTATTGTTTACTTTTTTAAAAAAACTCTGTAATACTACATATCATTTTCAAAGCTACCCTGGTTTTCTGTATTTCTTCTAGATTTTATTTTGTTCTCTGCTGTGCACTTTTTTTCTCCCTCCCTTCCCATCTCGCAGATGGCTGCGATTACACACAAATATGTTTGTGTGTCTGTTTGTACATGTGTGTGTATATATGTATATGTATTTTGTATTTGTATGTATGTAAAACCATACTAAACATCTTCTATTCTATATCTCTTTCTATGGGTATGGATAGTATATTCCTTCATAGGTCCTTTGTAGTTCATTTGCGTATTTATAATACTCCAAAAGACTTAGTCATTCATAGTTGTTTTGCTGCTGCGTACAATGTTCTTCTGTTCTGCTTATTTCACTCTTCATATTTCAGCCTTTCATGTTTTATCTAAAATCTATCCACTTATCATTTCTTATGACACAGTAGTATTCCGTCATAATCAAATATCACAACTTGTTTGGCCATTCCCCAATTGATGAGCATCCACTGAATTTCC